AACAGAACTGATAGCGTTGCGAGGCAAGGGCTCAAACATGTACGGCTGGAAGCCTTCTACACCAAACCAAGCTTCTGCCGCCCTGGCGTCCTCTTCCACAACATCTTCGTCCCCGCTTTCCTCCTCTAAATAAAAAATGGATGACGGAGGAGACTCATCCATGACCTCCGACACTAAACTCTCCTCCTCTTGCATGTTTTCTCTGTCCATAGCGTTCCTTGACATCGTCGTTTCTAAGTCACCAATTTAGTGCTACTTGGTCCCAATAGAATTTCCCATTGGGACCAAGAAGCACTAAGTTGCTAACTGGTTAACAAGATGCTTCGAAGAAACCGGTCACAACCAAACTTGCTTGTGAACCTTCCGCCATAACAATCACGCCCCCTTGATAATCGACCAATCACATTCACTTTATTCACTCGTGTAAAGTCGGACACCACTTGGGAGAATTCAGAAATGCAACGGTTGGAACAGCCGCTTCCCTACGACTTTAAAACAAGCTATTCCTCAGAACTGTACCAACAAATGACAGCTTCTGAAGGTGTTTTCTGTGTTCAAGGTTCTATCAGCTGATGAAGCCAGAATATTACAGGTTTAATATTACAGGTCCATCCAGACCTGGAGGTCCAGATGGACCTGATGGAGTCTGTTCAGTCTGTCAAGTTTTACGATAAACAGCGTGAAGGTTCTGAGGAGCATCAGGGAGCTTAAAGCAACCTAATCTCCATGCTGGGAGGAGGGACCGGGTGTTACCACTGGACTCACCATGCAGGCCGACGTAGCTCCCAATCTGGTCTGCAGCCTCCTCAGACAAACCCTTCTCATTCACCATCTCCTTCTTCACATCGTCCCAGGACATCTGCAGAACGACGACAGGATCAGAGCCGAGCTGATGGAAGGTGGTCCAAAGCGACCGGCAGCAGGAGATCATCTTACCTTATCCAGCTTATCCACCGTTGAACAGATGGTTCGGAACTTGTCGTCAGGAACGCCGCACACGGCAAACATCCCGTCCAGGATGCGTCGGTCGTTGACCTGGAGACGAAGCAGGAGTCAGGAAGAGCCTTCTACCTGATGACGTTCTGATGCTGCAGTCACTGACCTTGATGCGGAAGTCTCCCAGCTCCAGCTCGCTGAGGATCTCATGGACGATCTTCAGACACTCTGCGTCGGGGATCATGGCGTCGTACTGACCGGCGATGTCGAAATCCTGAAACGCACAGACGGTGAGAAGAGCAGCTGGAGCCCAACGCACACCAACCTGCTCTGACAGAACTTACACACTGATAAAACTCTCGGTAACGGCCGCGGGTCATGGCAGGGTTGTCACGGCGATAGACCTTAGCGATGTGGTAACGCTTGATGTTGGTTATCTTGTTCATAGCCAGATAGCGAGCAAACGGTACCTGGAGGAGAAGAGGTGAAGGAGGACAAACTGTTCTGATGGAGGACCAGTTAGGAGGAGGCTTACTGGGACAGGATCGACCTCCCTCTACTGGGGCGTACTGGGACGGGATCCGCCTCCCGCTACTGGGGCGTACTGGGACGGGATCCGCCTCCCTCTGGGACACACACTGGGAAGGTTTCCCAGTCTCCTA